AATTTGGTTTTATATTAAGTAGGCTGACTGTCAAAGCTGCTACTGTGAAATTGTTTCATTTTTGCAAATAACAGACACAATTTCAATAATCTAAAGAAATAAAGGAATAAGCATGTTACTAAACATTTGACGATCGATGCATAGAAAGCACTGTTTTGACGCCATATCGATCCTAGTCACGTGACTCTTGGTCTTCAGAAATAATTCGATCCTCCGTGAGATGACAAAAGATAATGATTTATGAATTTATGTTTAAATTTTAATACGATTTCCAACACGGCAAATTAAAAATAAACTATCCACATGTAAGCTGTGAATTCCAACACACTATAGCAAGTACAAGTGAATTGTAATCCAAGAATAGCTAGATTGATTTCAAGTCGCACAAGAGTATTCCGTAACACAAATTGGAAGTCCAAAGGAACGTTCTAAACGAATCACAATTCCTAGACACAGCTCACTCGAAATAGTTTAAAATCCTGTCAATTCGTTGAGGTTCACAATTGCTAACCGGAAGTTGTCTGTCTTAGCAATGAAAATGCTGCTGAACATAATTTAAAGGGAAGTAACTGTTGTATTTTTCAATTTATTGATCTGGCTTCAGTTTTACTAAACTTCGTATCTTAAGAAAAAAAGTCTGAGTTACGAAGTTCGTAACTTTTGAATTAAGATACGATGCTTCTGTTTTACTAACGCGTTCGTAAATTTTTATCGTAATCTTAACTTATGAACAATTCGTAAGATACGATCTTGGAACTCTCTTTTAAAGGAGATATAAATATTCGTAGTTACGAATGCTGCGCAAGCGCAATAGTCACTTTCGCTTTTATTCGCGGCAAAACGTCATTCTCGTCTGCGACAAAAAAAGAAATGGAAAGCAAAGATATCAAGCGGAGAAGGCCCAACTGGAGCGAGGGGGAGCTTGTGGCTTTGGCGGAGGCAGTGGTCCCTAGGGCCCATTACCTAAAAGGGAAGCTGTCTCCGTCATTGACAGCTGAGAGAAAACAGGGGCTTTGGGAGGAGGTAGCTGATGAGTAAGTTTTGTGACGAACCCCAAATCATTATACATGTACCATAATAAAGCCGAAACTGAATAGCAGCATAACAATATATTTATTGTGCAGTTTTTAAGTCAATAACTTACTGGGTGTTATATCAAATTTGAAAAATACATTTAGATTTGACAATGTTTGAATAACTCTAAAATTTCAGTTTTTCACTAATTTTTGTAGCCCCCACCCACCCCTCTCCAATATATAAATATGATATCAGAGGAAAAATTAAAATTGAAATACAATTTGTTGGGGTTAACCGTTATGTTATCAGAAACAAAATATGGACACAAGTTTAAAATCTGTATGTATACATGTATAGGCCTACTGGGTAAAAGTTATGAGATTGTCATCATGTGGCATTAGTGAAATAAAATTGTAAATGTAAATGCTGACTGCAACAGATACATTAGGCATTCCATATTAATTTCCAGTGTCCCTTCCACTGATGTCAGGCACAAAGCTAGCCAAAGAAAATTTCAAATTGTCATACATATTGGGTATTTGACCCTTTATTTGGCAAAATTTACTTTCAGATGATTCAGTTGTAACCATGAAAAAATAAACACATCCAACTTTCAAAGAGAGAAACAGAAATTGAGAAACCAATATGGTATTTTATAAAAACAAACTATTTAAGGTTTAAAAGAGGCGTTTTTTTTGTAAGCATTTCTGACTAGAGTTGTTGTTTTTAATGGAGTAACAGTGTAGTTATGAACAGTGTAATCACTGGACCCATTTGCAGTTTGGCAACAAAAATTGTCTCAATATTACAGGATTTTAATAATGACTATCAAATCCAAAATTACTGGTAAAAAATCTGGGAATATGTTGAATTCTTTTTATTTTCATTAAATTCTAAGTTTATTTCCTGTTGAGTGTCCACCCAAATTTTAAAAACCTAACTACTTATTTTGCAAAAAAATATGTACACAAGACACAAAATAAAACAAATTTACCGTTAACAAACACTTTAAAGTAAAAAAATAAAAACAATGTCTTTCAAAGGATTTGAATTCATTCATCTCTCTGTTTAAAAAAAAATATTTTTGCAAAATCACATTTATATAAAAAGCTAAAAATTATTTAATATGACATATATTGGCAGACAATCTTTCTGGGAGACTACAGAATTCAGATATTTTAACCAGAATAACCAAACTTTACTAAGTGCTGCATTTGAATTCAATATTATTCATAAATTAGAATGAGATTTTTGTTATTCTTGTGAAGTTATCATTTTAATCTATAAACAATTCTTTAACTTAATGTGCATATCCCATTGTTCTACATTAGAGTCAACTCTGTTGCCATGATTAAAAGAACAGTTGATGAAATGAAGAAAAAGTGGGCTGACATGCAGAGCCTGACAAAAAAGAAAGAAGGAGAAAGGAGAAGGTCCATGAAGATGACTGGTGGAGGCCAAGGGCCCAAATTTTCATTTTAAATGTTGGGAAAATTTGGTAAATGCTTAATTTTTTTGTTAAACAATAGGTCATTAGTTGATGAGTGCTTATTGAATCAGTATGAGTTGAATATTTAGAGTTTCAGTGCAGAAAACAAATCATTTAGAAAGAATTTGTTGAAAGAATATTTTCAATAAGCAAACAGTTGCATGATTTGGTCTGTCAGTTTCCTGTTGTCAAATTTTTTAAGGACCCCAACCGTGATATTGATCCAAGGCTGTTTTTTTAGCACTCCTGACATAAAAACTTGGTAGGACTTGTCTGATCAAAGAGTGTCTATAAATTTTGCAAATGTTAATCAAGAAGCATTGTGGATAATTAGACCTATTTATTCAACTATCTGCTATCTATTTACATTATAAAATCCTTATACTGATGTTGCCATCGAGGGCATCAGCAGTGGTGTGATTCTGCAGAATGTGGTATGTATATAGACTCTTATATAATATTCATTGATGTTAAGATAAGATAAGATTTAGTAATAACAATTTGGGGCCCATCAGGGCATACAGGTATTGGAGATTAAAGAAATTCAAAATTGATGGTAGCAACTAACAAAAGATTAATGATCTGTGCTGGATTATGAACTAAAATTGCACATGTACCAGAATTACATAATTAATTTCAAAAAGGGAGAACAGTTTTCTTGTGTTATTGTATAAAAGCTAGAAATATCATGGACATGAAATTTTGCCAACTGTGTATATTAGTAATGTAACATGAAAATTTGTACAACTAATAAAATTTGATGAAAATATCTAGTACAGTTAAATAATCTAGAAAAATTAGTGAAAAATTATGGCACTCTTAGTATACATGATTCCCCAGGGTAAAGGTGGCCACAATCAATGAGGAATCAAAGTTTTACATATAGTAATATATGGAAAAATATTTTAAAAATCATACTAACAGCAAAGTCATGGTTAGTCATATTCATATGGAAGTATACATGTTTCTTCAAATTGTTCAAATTTTGACCCCTAGGGTTAAGGTTGGCCATCATATTTTCATGGACGATTAAGTTTTCAAAGGAATATATTAAAAAATCTTCTCAACATGTACAACAGCAAAGTGATGATTGGTTATGTTTTTGCTCTGGAAGCATCCTCGGGTATAAGACAATGCAGATTTGTAAAAATAATACCCCAGGGGGTAGGGTAGTACCACAATAAAGTCTCAATTATACAACGCAGTAATAGTAAAAAAAAAATGTAATTATCCATCAGTCTTTATTGTAGATTCATGTTTGTGTAGATTTAAATTTGTTAAAACCATACACCGCTTTTAGGGTCCGTCAGGACAATTTATGCATTTACTGAATTGATTTTTGCTTGTTCTTAAGCCAAAGTGCACAGGTGAGCAATGTGGCCCATGGGCCTCTTGTTTTGAAATTAATAGCTTTGAAGTGAGATCACTTTTTGACGGGGCTGGTAAATTTTGACTTTGACAACATTGTTCCTCAGCAATAAATATACGTGTCTGGCTAATTTTACATTCATTCAAACACAGACTGCTATATGCCCCGGTCATGGCACTGTAATTAGCAAGGTTAATAAACTTTCTTGTATGAGTCCGTGGAAATAAAAGAAATATTTTAGTTTAAATATATAATTTTTTTTGTGGTATCATTAAGTCCAAGAAGCTTCTTTGCCAGGTTTGGTCTCTAGCTGCTGTTGTTCCATCTACTACAGATTCTGCTAAGCCTGGATTTGCCCAACCAAGGTGCCTTTTTATTTTTTTACTTCTATGTATCATGTGTATGTAAATATGCACAGTACCAAAGTTGAACACTTTGCTTTATCTTATATCATCATACATCTTATATTCTTATTTTAAAGGTAACCATGCCTAGCTGTCCATTACAAGTAGCAGAAATGGTGGTAAGGCTCATAAACATAAATGAGTTAAATAATTATACGGTGATAGAAGTATTTATTTTTACAAGAATTTTTTTTATTCTGACTAAATGAGGGATCTAATGTATATTTCATAAAAATAGTCTGTTCCTTAATTCTTGCAAGTTCCTTGATTTCACTGTTTTTAAATTTTAATCATGATAATTATTATTTCTAGTCAAAGACACATCAACCCTTAGTCATGGTGCTGTGATTCCACTAGCAGGGGCTGATAAACCTGGAACCTGTACAGAAGGTAACCCTCCCAATTATTTTTAAAATCACCTTATTGTATATGATATTAGTTATAGGATAAATCAAGGTGCTGCGGATACTTAGGGTTTATTCCATACACCCTAACTGAGATATTAATTTACCCCACCTCTGTTGATTTTTATGTGAAATCCTGGCTTACGATTGGTTAAAGTCTGTCACGTGAAGGAGGTGGATTCTTATACCCGGTCAGTTGTAGATATTTACCCAGTCATTTGTAATCTACTACATTCGATGTTTTATGTAACAAACATAATTGACAGTCATAATAGGCACAGTAAGCGTGATGAAGCACTTAGCAGAGATATTCATTTATAAACCACAGATAAAGCGTAAATGTTTAGTGGGTGGGGTGAATTGGTGACACATAGTCTTTTAGTGACAGGGTATCAGGATGCCTGGTAAAATTGCATACCTGACTTGGCTCCAGGTATGAAATTTACCTGGTGTATGATCCCGTGCCTGATAGGAGTAATGCCGTAACATCACCCAGAGATTTCCTGCACCCTTGATTTGACCTAGATAACAAATTTATTTATTATGTCATCCATGTTTATTCCTCAGAGTCTAAATCAACTGTGTTCTCCATGCACCTAGGTATTGCCTATTCCACTAATTAAACGCTTTAAGGGTCACAAAAGGACAATGATCCTGTGACTGAGCTGTGGCCTATTAAAACCACAGTTAGAACTTTGTTGCTGCTGGGTGCATTATTAAGTGCTTCACGCATCTTGTTTTTGTTTTTTTAACTAAAATGTATAACAGTACCAGATTAAAGTTGAACACTTTGCTTTTGCAAAACACCAGTTTAAATATAATTGCTTCCTTAATTACTGAATATCACTGAAATTTTTGAGTTCTGAAATTCATGTCAGTTTCCCTCCTCATCTTATTTTATCTCTTTGAATTAATCAACAAACTCATCTCTTATTTCAAAGATAACGCCATGTCTCAGTCACTGTCCAGTGATATTACAAGAGCCAGTAGCAGAAGTGGAGGTAAGGTTCATATACATAAATGAGTTAAATAATTAAAAAGTGATAGAAGTATTTATTTTTACAAGAAAGTCCTTTTTTTATAAAATAAGAGATATGTAATTTATATTTCATAGAAAAATGATCTCTTCCTCCTAAGTTCCTTAATGACTTTCACTGTCCACAGTAGACACAACTGAAATGATAATAAAAAGAATTCTTGTTACATGTACATACAGTACCGACCAGACCCAACCTGACACCCAAGCAGTCCCAGAAAGCAGTCCCCGGGACTGCTTTGGGACCGCTCTGGGACTGCTGTGGGACTGCTCTGGGACCGCTGTGGGACTGCTCCGGGACTGCTCTGGGACTGCTCTAAAAAGCAGACCTAGCAGTCCCAGCTGTCCCTGGGACTGCTTTCTGGGACTGCTTTGTTCACTCATGTGTGAAAGAGGTTCTGAGTGACACGATAGCTCCGCCCCCTTGTGTATTCTGAATTTGCAGACTGCCAGTTGTTTTGTTTACTAGCAGCAGAGAGGAGTTTAAACTATTAAAAAGCAAGGATTTCTTACAACCTTTTGATAAGTAGAGATTATTATAGTTAATTAATATTTTCAGAGACTGTATATTTACACAAATGTAGTTTAGAATATTTTTTTAAAAATAAAGTTGTTCAATAAGGAAGTCAGGAGAAGATTTTATACTTAAAGATAAACTACAGGTTTATGAAAAAATACATATATTTAGGCCTATTTTTAATTTAGTGTAAAATTATGTGCATTCAAAATTTGCATTAATTGGCACTATCTAAAAATAATCATTACAGGTAGATGTAAGATTTTTAATTGAAAAGCTATATGTTTTATGAGTACCTCGCTAACAAAAGTATCCCATACAACCTCCAAATAAAGTTTAACAATTTATTAAATGACCATGATAGAAAATTATGCTACCATTCTTCTGTAACTTAAACAATGTTAAACAATGTGAATAATTATTGGGGAATTTATCAATGAATTACCAGTTTTTAATTTATAAACAAATTATCAAAAGGGTACATTTATTTTATACATAAACAGTTGAAAATACCGGGAATTGTGATTTATTTCTTTTTTGTTTTGCTTGTGTTTACCTGGCCGATTAATGTTTATAAAATGGTATCAACACTAGCGGTTTCAGGGCAGAAAATCAGTGCATGTTATTTGGGCAGAAAATAATACACGTTTACATCATTGAACATGCTGGTCAACATTGACCCTAATTTCAATCTTCCGGTATGTAATGCACAAATAAAATTGATAATTGAAATGTATATGATTTCTTTCAGGATTAATAATTTTGAACATAATATCTGAGGGGTCCATTCTGGTGATTTACAGATGTACATTCTAACATTTACAAATAAAACACTTAAAATTGAGTATTTTAAAGATAGAGAAATTAACAATAATTAAATTGACATGTCAGTAAAAATAAATCATGACTGAAAATAATGCTTGGCAAAATTAACAAAAAATTTTGTAAAAACCCCAATACTTAAGAAAATTCCTTTAGAGTATCCCAATAGTACGGTAATTGGCCATATAACGATAAGATCTACTTAAAGCTAATGCTCGTGGAAAATAATTAATTCACGTTTAATTTTCTGTATAAACTAGAGGTACTGTGAGCAATGAGCTCACTAAATGATACCCCCCGCCTCTCATAATGTCCATGTGTTGCTATATATTGTTTTATGGTCATGTGTAAAGAGGAATAACTCGTCCTATCAAATGTTATCCAGAAGCTTCTATATGTGATGTCATAGGTAAACATATAATGGCAATGTCCATGTTTTGC